AATTTTTGTGAAGATATGAAAAGGAGAGCATTAGTGATTATATAGCTGTACTTCTTTACAATGGCGCATCCCTAATTCCTTTCCACTCTCATGTCTCGAGCCTCTGGGACCTTCACGTTTTGTCATGAGTGGCTCTTGTCAACCCTCCACAAGTCAGTGTTATTTATAAGATAAAACCCATTTGAAACCCCTTTTCAGCAAATAATGATACCTGCTGTTTTTCCCTCTCTCCCTTTATGACTCTAGATGAACATGATTTCCATTTTACACCAAAGATTTGAAGAGAGAGATGTATTTCTTTGAAAGGGCGGTTGCTATTAGACAGATTAACCATCACACCATCCTCCGTTTTTATTAAATCAACTCAGCAGGAGATAACGGTTTCAGCAGTGTTCTCCTGGAAGACTCTTATTTCCTAAACCATTTTCATTATCACACAATTCATAAATAACTTTTCCAATTCATTGCTAACTGATCATATTAATTTGGTGGTGTGTATTCCAGGAAGACAATGTAAGCGGCTGAACTGCTGATGACTTCTGAGATACAATAGCAGGAATTATTATGATGCATGAAATTGCAGTCTGCTGCCTAGATTACTAGTGTACACCCCAGCAAGTGATTCAGTGCATGAGTTTCTGTTTTCATGGGAAGAGAATATTCAGCTTCCCCTATCCTCTTATTAGAAAATTAGTTTCTTTCAACCAAGGGTGAGTACTGTACATAAATATTTCTGTCAGTAAACTCTAATAAATTATACATTTTAGAAAATCACTGTCACTGAACCGGCTGGCGAAGATAATGTTGCCATGAAAACTTCCGCCATTCTTGAGGAGTAACTCGCTTCGAAATGAACCTAATGAATCATCTATCACTGTCCATGGGCAAAATAAAAGACGCTACTCACCACCGTAATGTTGGGAAATGTTGTTTTGGGCAAAATCAACATCTCCAGGGTGAAGCTGTAATTTTGCGTCACCTAGAACAGAATGCGTAATATAGCATAACTGTTCTTATCGCCAAATGTCAGATGAGATTTAAAAGCCGGTCTGTTTCTGTTGGCTGTTGTTCCTATCTTAAGATACACCGTCTGCATAGTGTCCAAATGCGTTTTCTCTCTCTCGCACTGTGTGTGTGTGCTGCTGTAAGTTTCCCCCATTATCTAGTTAATTACAAACAGCCGTATTTACAAGACCAGTCCAGAAGGAATGACTTAGCAAACAATGTACTATAGGTGTTAGCTAAACGAAAAATAACTACTATATAAGTCCTAGAGTGAAATGTGACGAGGTGAAAGATAATAGGTGAATAATTGTGTTTTTATGCACTGTGTGGGAGGCAGTGAGAAACTTTACTGCTAAGCCCCACAGCTGTTCACTGTAAAATCTGTCCTCGCAATGACTTTACGGCTGGCCTGCCGCCACCTTTTTATATCTGTGTGCACAGATACACACATCTCACGTTAAAGTTTGTCTTAGCGTTGGTGTCACTGAACCGGCTGGCGAAGATAATGTTGCCATGAAAACTTCCTCCATTCTTGAGGAGTAACTCGCTTCGAAATGAACCTAATGAATCATCTATCACTGTCCATGGGCAAAATAAAAGACGCTACTCACCACCGTAATGTTGCTGTAATTTTGCGTCACCTAGAACAGAATGCGTAATATAGCATAACTGTTCTTATCGCCAAATGTCAGATGAGATTTAAAAGCCGGTCTGTTTCTGTTGGCTGTTGTTCCTATCTTAAGATACACCGTCTGCATAGTGTCCAAATGCGTTTTCTCTCTCTCGCACTGTGTGTGTGTTTGTGTTTGACTGTGTAATTCTGCTATTGGCAACCAGGAATCTTCATGAATCCACTGGCAACGCATCTCACAGCTGGCCCAGATTCTTCAGCTTCCTTTTCTCTTGATGATGGCTGTTGTTGTTCCTGAAAACACTGTTTTACCTCCTCATAACTCAACGTGTAAAGAGCCAAACCACCGTCTGTACATGAGTACTTCCAGAGTGAGTTTGAGTGGAAGTATAGATGGAGCTATTTAAATTCACTTTGAAGTTGCTTATGGGCTCTATTTCCTACACATTTTCCCTGACTTGAGTGGGTTAGATGGTATGAAGAGGGGAAAATTGGCTTTCTGAGCTGTAATTAGCCAATCAGAATGCTTTTCTCGAAATCATGCAAATCACATATGAGCGTTAATGGAGGCTGAAGGCAACAAAATTGTTGGAGTTTCCAAGATCAGAGGCGAATGGCACACGTTGAACTCTTAAAAACATCAAAATAATGCCATTGCATCTCGATTTAGCATCGTTAAGCCTTCACAGTATTTTCGCAAGTGAGTGCAGAACAATGCTTTTAATCACTATTTAAATTCACTTTGAAGTTGCTTATGGGCTCTATTTCCTACACATTTTCCCTGACTTGAGTGGGTTAGATGGTATGAAGAGGGGAAAATTGGCTTTCTGAGCTGTAATTAGCCAATCAGAATGCTTTTCTCGAAATCATGCAAATCACATATGAGCGTTAATGGAGGCTGAAGGCAACAAAATTGTTGGAGTTTCCAAGATCAGAGGCGAATGGCACACGTTGAACTCTTAAAAACATCAAAATAAGCATCGTTAAGCCTTCACAGTATTTTCGCAAGTGAGTGCAGAACAATGCTTTTAATCACCGAAGACTGTTGTGCACTTTGGATTCAAAGACTGGAGGTAATATGTAAATCCAAAATTAATGTCTCATTCCCTGTGCTGAATGAAGCACTTGACTTTGACAAGTTTGTAACAAGTCAGCCTCTATTCGCAGCAAATGTAATCAGGCATACTCTGCTTCTCCGCAAGGCTTTTTCAGAGAGGCTGATATAAATCAGGTTTTGATCACGGCTCATTTTTATTTATAAGATCTTGTACAGGCAAGTTTTTCAAGGGAAGACAACATCATATTTTTGGAAGCCACAGTGTAACTACAGGTAAATTGGCTCTTCGCACAGATTTGTCACTATCGGTCTCATTTTCCCGTGTAGTGATCTGAGAGCGAGCATGTAGTCCGTCAGGACACTTCAGACAACATCTTCTCCAGCTCAAACATTCATGAGGAGAGTCTCTCTCTCTGGGATACGCTTGGCATGCTCTCCCTTAGAAGTTTTGATGATAATTGGCAAAATAGCAAATGGCCTGAAATCATCATTTGCAGGTGGATGTTTCTACTGGCAGAGAGTTTTGCTATCTCCGATTTGAGGAAAAGAAGCTGTTGCCTCATTAAGATTGTGCCTGTACTTTTTACACTGACAATAATGCGATAAAAATTACGAAACAGAAAGACAAAAGCATTGAGTAATTGTCAATCTTTTAAGAACAATAATGTTAGCTTTAATTTCCAAGACAAAGCCGCTGCTGTCACGTCAAGGCCTTTTTTTTAAACCAGCTGCCATCACAACTTTTCATCGAGACTCAGTTCCCCAAAATTAATAAATCTCTTCCTGGAATTTGTAAATTTTTCAGTTCAGTGTTTACATAAACAGAGAATAGAAAGTTTAGCTGGGAAAAGTGGTGGGCAGAGAGAGAAGGAAGGATGGAGAAAGAAAAATCAAAGGTCTATGAAAAGGCTAAGAACCAGAGCTTTGAAGTTATTATGATGTGCTGCTCACATACAGGATACACCAATGAGGACTTTCGCTTGATCCCGTGGGATCTAGGTTATTGACCTTGCACTTTAACGGTATAACAGGGCTTTTCTTGAAGCGCCAGAGGTGTTAATTAAATGGAGCAGCAGAGTCAAGGACACAGGAAATGCACGGACAGTGACGAGTCTGTTGTTTTACTCCACAAATAACCATTTATTCTTCACACATTTAGCGAAAATCACGGTTTATTGTAAAGGACACAAGAAGGTAGAGAAACAGTGAGATGTAGCAGTAGATTAAGTACTCGGTGCATGGCACATCATTCTTAGGGAGACGACTCACTGTGAGTCGGGTTTTTCTCTTTAATTCTGGCACCAAAAGCTCCGAAATATTCAACAGTGATAGTTGGCCAGCCAACTTGAGCCTCGTAATATGGAGTAGGAGGAGTAAATTAATCTTTGCTACAACACGAGACAAACCGTACCTTCACATTTTAGCTGCGTTTAACAGTTCTTTTCGAGAGTTCGATAGATTTTGTTTCGGTTAGGGCTGCATGATTAATTGGAATAAAACTGAAATCGCGACATGGCTTAGTATGATTATCAAATCGCAAAGACTGCAAATTATTTAAATAAATATGTGCACTACGTGTTTCAGAGTGAAGTGGCATTGTGTTTTTACACACTTTTACACATGTGCTGCCAAAATTAAAGCTTGATGTTTTAACTTTTGTAAAAAATAATAATACGTTGTATTATTACATTTCAATTTCACAATTTTTATCAGAAAAATCACAATTCGTTTTTTTCCTCAAATCGTGCAGCCCTATTTTGCATTCAGGACATGGCTCAGTATTTTCAGAAGCTGCTCAGACAAAAGTTTGAATTTGACCTCATGTGTAAATTTACAGAACTCAAATGACCCCCAGCGTGACCTTTAACACTGAAATTCTGGTCTGAGGTGCCAGAAATAGCATTTAATTACAAACAACACAAATCAAACAACATTGTGTCCTCACTTTGGGAGAAAAATAGAATCAAAATTGATAGTGAACAAAAAAATAACAGTTATTAAAAACAACCAGTACCATCGTAACCTTGTAAAATCAATATCTAAAACTCTATAATGCATGCCATACTATGCGGTTGATTTTTATTAAGAAAGTTCAAAATCGAATGTTGGGCATTTCTTTTTCTACATTAGCAGTGTTAGACTGAGTATTTTGTGTTTGTGTCTGTCATTGTTTGTGTTTGCCTACAGTGTATGTGTGTGTGTGTGTGTGTGTGTGTGTGTGTGCGTGTGTGCTTATAAGCTCAGTGAATGAAGAGGGGCTTAAACAGATCTGACATCATTTTTACCATGCAGAAAATCTGCCAAGTCTTTCACTGTCCCTTCAGTTGTGTTTGTCCATTTGTGTCTTTTTTAGGTTGCCGTCTGTTTTCACACTTTCCTCTGCTGTCCTTGCTTGTCCTTGTCCGATCTGCTCTGGGGTCTTCGCCTATAGAACAAAGATGACAAGAGAAGAAAATACATGCATACCGTGGTTCAGCGGACTCTGAAGTCTGGCACAAACAGAGCAGGTGATTACACATTTACACCTTCCTCTCCATTTCCCCTGTCGCTGTCAGATGGACCTATAATTTGACAAAACCTGTCACCACTTGCTGCAGAGCTCAAGGCTGACACTTGTTAGCACTGGAGCAAATAGTTATCTGTGAGAGGGTGTGTGCAAGTCTATGCTTACTGCGTCTTGACAGCTCACTTATATAACATGGGGAACATGGAAGTTCAGAGACACTGAGAATATTAATGTATTATGCAAATGTAGCAAATATACAGTGGGGTCAAAAGGTCATAGATGACATTGAAAATCTGGGATTTAAAATTTAATTTAACTACTAAATGTTTAGTTAGATATTAAACAAAGAAACATTATAATGTACAGTAAAATGATTAAGAAATATTTTAGATTCTGCACATTTCTAGTTTACCAATTCATGTTTTGATGTTTACATTAACTTTTTACTTAAATTAGGGTTTGATATTTTTTTAAATGTTTTTGAAAGAAGTCTCTTATGCTATACAGCTGCATTTATTTGATCATGCAAATGGCTTTACTGTCAGTTCTGATCAATTTAATGTGCACTGTTTAAATAAAAGTATTAATAAATGTAATATTAATTTATTAAAAAAAAAAACATTTTTACTCACCCCAAACTTTTTTGCAGTAATGCAATTTGTAATGACAAAATTTATATACAGTAATGAATGCAAATGTATACAATAACATAAAATAAAATAACAATAGAAGCATTTTCACTAGTGGTTTCTGACTTTTTTAACTTGAAAGGCATCACACACACACAAAACTTGAGTAACATTATACATGTCTTTACTGTCACTTTTGATGAATTTAATAAATATTAAAAATGTAAAATTCAGATGTACTATAAGCACACACACACACACACACACATATTGTTCTATCACATCTATTGAACTCACTCATTGTTAAAGGGATTGTTTACCCAAACAATTAAGTTATTAAAAGATTATTGAAGGCATAGTTCACCCAAAGTACAGTAGTCAACATTTGAAGTGGATCAAAACCTTTCATCAAAGTTGTCTTAAAACCAAAATGCATTCTTGTCTTAGGACAACTTTGATTAACTTTTTTGATCCACTTCAAATGTTGACTATATTTGACTTCTGCAGAACATAAAATATCATCTTATATCTTATATTTTTTGTCCATACAAAGAAATTCCAGTGTTGTTTTATTTTAATATGGGTAAAAACAGTTTAAACATTCTTCAAAATCTTTTGTGTTCCATAGATGAAAAAAGTCATACAGGTTTAAAAAGACATGAGGGTTAGCAAATGATGACAGATTTTTCATTTTTGGTGAACTCTCTCTTTAATTCTTTCAGTAGGGCACATCAGAACACTCACTTGACTGTGTCCAAATGTCTTTTTCATCTCAGATGAACTATCGGTCTGATTGTGGGAACAGTCTGCTCCCACCTGGAGGTACAAAGAAAGAGACAGAAAAAAAACTGTTTTAAAAATTTAAAAATCAAATTCAAGGAGCAAACAAATCCCAAGATCATCTAACGATCAAGCACAGAGCGAAGGGGAAATATGTCTTGAATAAAAGCCTTTTAGGTCTTTTTAATAAATAAAAATACATATATGTGGCCACAATGGAGCAGTGATACTGTATAGACTATAATTGTTTGCTGTTTACATTTTCCCCAAAAGCCCTGAGCTATGAGATTATACAGTGTTGCATAGAACACAGATTAATCATGTTGCTCAGGGGATGGAGTATTTTAAGGAAACGTTTTATATGCTTGTCTCTATGAGCTCTAAAACAAGCTAGAAAAATGTTTTTGGAGCAACACATTTAATAGAAGAGTACAAGACTACAAGAGACAATGTTTAACTGAAAAATACACCCTCATTTTTTTATTCTGACAGGACAAAAAACAGTGACGTTAAGTTAATGGAAGTGTTATAGGACTGTGCCTGCCAAAAGAACAACTTTATAAAGGCAGTAAAGAGTAACAATCTAAAACTCTTGCCATATACCTTGTTCATTTTCCTTCGCTGCCTAAGTCTGCTTCATCCTAAGTGCTCTTTCCTCAAAAACAGTTGAAGAATTGGTTGAAGGAATGTACTGAAGCCAGCAGAGATAAATTAATAGCTATTATCAATGTCTGTAAACTCCCTCTAGACAAGTTGGTGTGTGAGCAATACTAAAGACTCAAAAACAGTTGACATGTCTTTTTGATGGATGTGATACAGTACTTCGCCATCTGACAACCACTTAAATTTGTTGTTATACAGTATACTCCATAACGAAACATTCTGGATACTCATTTCAAATGTAAATTTTATATTCATTAATTACTATATAAAATATTATATATATTATATACCATTCAGACGCTTCGCGTCATGGCCGCATCACCCAACGGCCCGTTGTCAATTATTCCGCTTATACTATGGTTGGCACACCTCAAGACATCTATCAGATGTTATATTTCAAGGCATTTGTCTGGTTTTTGTACTTAAAATGCTATTGTGGGTCAGATTAGTTTCTTCTGCATCTCATACAACGCCTCCATTGCTGATTCCAAAACGTAATTTTAGACCTAGTAACAGAGGACTGAGCTGTTGATAGCAGACTTATGCAACTATTTAAGTTATTAGAGAGAGAGAGTGCGCGTGTGAATTACGTTACCTCTGAGAGTCTGTGTGTCTCTCAAAAGTGTTTGGCAGCAGCGTCTCTACTAATAGTGAAACTTTAAGTTCATTTTCTTCATGAACAGCGCCGTCGTTACCTAGCTTGTAAGAAATGTCATGTAGCTCTTAATTTGCTAAACTATTTTACTAATAAAACTGATAGCGCTAACAACATAAGCGCGTATCTGTGTGTGCAAACTGTGTGTGTGTCAAGGAAGAGAGAGCGGGAGAAATAGAGTTTGTGCTTTACGTACATAATAAAATATAATTTTGTGGCAAAACATGGAAATAATCTCTCGATTTTTTTATACTATTGCTTGCTATATTTATTTGTTTGACCAGTGTTGTGGGTTTTGGTTATTCTGTTGTAAGCTGTAAAGGACCTTTGAAATAACTGAAATCATTTGGCGAAGTGATATTTACATGTAATACGGTCAAGAGCTGCCTGGAACTACGTTCGCTGTGCGTTTCCCTGAAAATAATTGCACACCTTAGAACGTTGGTCAGCCAATCAGATTCAAGCATTCCATGGCCCTGAAGTATATATATATATTTCAATCATGACAACTCTCCGAAGATTTTAGCATGGTGATAGATATGACAATGTTAATGTATTTGGTCTTGGCGGAATAGATCTGCTACGCTGTTGCTGAATTGCTGCTGCTATTGGTTATTGCTGTAGTTGTAGATTATTGCTGCTGCTGCAAGCAAGTACAGGAACATGCTACTGCCAATGCAAATCGCGATACGGTGCTGTGAGTATTTAAGACATACTGCTGCTGCTGCACAAATAGCATATAAAATAACCCGTAACAGATCTATATAGGTGGAGCTGGGGAAGGTGGAGGGTTTCAGAGAAACTCTGATAGCGCGCTGCAGGAATCTCAAGTGAATGCTAGCCAGCCATATAAATGCAAGGCAGTAAGCTCATTGGCTGTATATGCAGCATGAACCAATCAGCATGCACCAAGTTGTTTAACTCTCTGAATATCATCAGTTACGTTAACAACCCGTCAGCCTGCGCCATCTAGAGTTTCATGACTGAACTATATATATATATATATATATATATATATATATTAGTGCTGTCAAATGATTAAGATTAATCGCGATTAATCGCATCCAAAATAAAAGTTTGTGTTTACATAATATGTGTGTACTGTGTATATTGTATTTAAATTGTATTTAAATGTATATTTAAAGACAAACACATACAGCATATACGGTAACACTTTAGAATAGGGAACACCTATTCACGATTAACTACAACTTTTCCCTCAATAAATTCCTAATTTGCTGCTTATTTTTAGTTAGTAAGGTAGTTGTTAAGTTTAGGTATTGGGTAGGATTATTAGGGATGTAGAATAAGGTCATGTAGAATAAGGCATTAATATGTGCTTAATTTGTACTAATAAATGGCTAATATTCTAGTAATATGCATGCTAATAAGTAACTAGTTAAGAGACCCTAAAATAAAGTGTCACCGCATATACTTTGAAAATATTTACATGTATATATTTATATTCATATAATTATATCATACATAAATATATTTAATATATAAACGTAACATATTTGTCCTAAATGTATACATGCATGTGAGTGTATTTATATATACATAATAAATATACACAGTACACACACATATATTATGTAAACAAAAACTTTTATTTTGGATGCGATTCATCGTTTGACAGCACTAATAAACACACACACACACACACACACACACACAAACACACACCCACATATAGACAGATAGATAGATATACCTGTATATATATATGTATATACTGTATATACTGTATATATATCTGAGTTTTATATATTTAAGATGTATTAAATTATTCAAAAGTTAAATATTTATACCTATAGATAGATAGATAGATAGATAGATAGATGATATAGTTTCTGCACTATTTCCAGGTCACTAATTAACAAGGGAAATTTGTGACATTGATCATGTGACTGTACGGACAGTCAGATATTCTTCTTCCTTTGAAGAATTTCTTAAAAATCATGCTAGATCACATGATTATCAGGTTTTACACAAACCTATGGAGTTGATGCAGCTCCAGTGCTGCTGCTATTAAAGTAAAAGAAAGAGAAATGCAATACTAAAACATCATTTCTAATAATAATATTTAAAAAAAAAACAGAAGAATGCAAAAAACAAATGAGTGGTCTCAGACTTTTGGACTGTACTGCAAGTCTTCATAAAACATGCTAATCTATGATAATAAATAACTTGGTCTTTAGTAAGATACAAAAATCAGCAGCACTCATATATGATAAGACTCCACTGATTAGAACGACACCCCAGTGTGTTTTATCTCACTCACAGTCTCTCTCTTTCTCTCAGTATAGTTGCAGGGCTCTGTCACACTGCTCTCATCAGTACCATCAGCAGGGTGAGAGCTGCTCTGGGAACATTTTCATTAGACAATCTTCATGGCATGTCATCTACCAAGAATGACACCTTCTCCCTGGGATCCCGTGTTTTCTCTCCCTCTTTCTGTCTGTCTTTGTTTCCTGTCTCTGCACACTTCCTCACGTGGCTGTTTTCCCCTCTCGCACACACACATTCAGCTAACACACAGCCACTTACCCACAATCACAAACACACACAATACTGTCATTATAGGTGATACGCGCATGTCAGCAAGCAGTGAGATGTATCTGGCCTGGTCTACAGCACTCCTCTCTGCTCTGCTGATATGTGTAATGCATTGTTCCCCGTGTTCATATTTCCAGTGCTGTCTCAAAACTTCCAGACTAGAAGATCTCACATCATGTGTCAACTGCAATGATGACTGAGGATCATGTAAGGTTGCTTTGTGCCTACCATCCGTGTGAGAAACGTGTGAGTGCATTTCTCAAAATGGGTTCATAATCTGTGTGTTTGTTTGACTAACATCCATTACATGTAAGACTGTCTGTGAAAACAATTATGCCTTTTCAATTCTTTACAAAATAAGTTTTGCAACTACCACTGCAAAGAGCTATGATATGAAATGCACTCAGAAAAAAAAAGAAAAGAAAAAAAAAGAAAGAGCATAATCATTTTAAGGTCATCTTTAGCTATTCTGGAGGCAATATATTACAGCAAAAACAGGGTAAATCCCAAAGTATGTTTTGTTTTTTACACATATGATAGAGTATGCATATAGTGTGTGTGGCGTACAGTATATTTTATTATCATTATTGTATGCGCACAGTCGTGTATGCATTGTACCCTGATCTCACTTCACTGGCTTCCAGTTGTGGTCAGAATCAAATTTAAGGTTTTGATGCTTGCTTTCAAGACTACCACTGGAACAGCCCTTCTCTTCCTCAGTTCACTTCAAAAGTTGCTACAAACGCTTCCTCCTCCAGCTTAGCTCACTGAATGATGAGGAAAAAATCTCTGCATTTCTACTCTCCTCTAGCTTACTTCCATGCTTTTCTACTCTTCTCTATCTTACTTCTTAATCTAGTTGTCTAATAAACTGGCATTGTGTGTTACTATTGGACTATTGTGGCTCTTTAACAGATTGCTTTGTTCTTCTTTTGCTTTGGATAATTTTAAGTTTGTTTGCAGTACAATTTACAAGAAAACACTATTTTTTGTTTTTTTAAGTAATAATTTCAGTTATTATTATTATTATCATCATCATCATCATCATCATCATTATTATTGAAGTTATAAGAAAATAATATTTTAGTTTTTTACAACAACAACAATAATAATAATAATAACAATAACTGTGCAATTATTATTATTATTATTGAAGTAAAAAATAAAACTGACAGCTGCAGTATATTTTGAAAGAAAATACAATTTCAGGCTTTCTACTTCAAAATTTCATGTTTAATTCAATGTGCTAACTTTTTGAGAGGAAACTGTTTCTATATAATTTTCCCCCCAGCGTTATACTTTGAACTTTAGAGATTTTAAACATCTTGTCCAAGTTTAATAAGCAGAAATAGCAATTTTTTCCCCTCAAAATATTCCTGTTTGTTTGAGTATCCTGACCAGCCCGAAATGGCACTGTCTCACCAATGGTGTTATTTTAAAGGGGTCATATGATGTTGCTAAAAATAACATTATTTTGTGTATTTGGTGTAATGAAATGTGTTTATGCGGTTTAAGGTTCAAAAAACACATTATTTTCCACATACTGTACATTATTGTTTCTCCTCTATGCCCCGCCTTTCTGAAACGCGTTGATTTTTACAATTTTGGAAGGCCAAACAAAGTAGTTTCGCTTTCACAACACACAGCGCCTTCACGACATGGCGGCGGCAACAACAATACTACAGCGAGAATAAAAGTTACGCCTTCTTTCTTTGCTTGAACATTTGGGCGGTGTTATGCAAATCTTCCCAGATAGTGATGTAGGTATGTGGGGGAGTGCTAGAACGATCTGTTTTAGGTAGGCGTGGCTGACTCTTAACTTTTATAAAGAATATCTCTTTGGATTTGAGACTTTAGTCTTTGCAACTTTACAGATCTTCTTTATGCACCAAGAGCTTGTAACACTCCACAGAGAAAGGAAAAATTTAAATGGCATCATATGACCCCTTTAAAACTGGTCTATCGGTTTTGCCAACCAATAAAAGAAAAGGGGATAATTTAAGGAATCTGTTTGAAAACAATCATTGTTATTAGTTCCATTTGGTGTCGTAAAGGGACATAAATTACACACTTCAACCTTAACTAAATGGAGCTGCAATATTTTCTCATGGGTCCAACAGCAGCAGTTCAATATACATTGATCACGAGAAAACTGCTGAGCGAAGCCTCAAAGCTTATTCTTGAACAAAATTTAATGCAAAGTTGTAAATGATCTTAAATGGCTAAGGGATACACTGAGATGCAATGAACATAAGTCGACCCATTTAGTCCAAAGGGTAAAGAAGTGGCCATTAGAGTATAAGGGCACTAAAGATTTACCTTCACCATCTGGCAGTCTTTCGGTCCTGTGCTCTCTCTTCTCATTACCGCACTGCTCACAGGCAATTTACTTGTTGTTGTGATCCGGGGAACTTTTGGGATGTCCTTAAGGAAGAGAGCATAAAGAAACAAAATGTTACATTATGAAAGACACAAATGAGTAGAGAGAGAAAGAAAAAGAGGGAAAACAAGAGAGTGCTGGGGTTAAATTCTCCAGACGCTTTATTATAAAGCACAGACAATTTTCCACTTAGGTTAATTTGAAGTCGGTTGTCAACTCTCTTTCTATTGTGATCTACTGTACATGAGTGGCTTTAAAGTCAGAGCACAAAGCACACTTCTGTTATTGTGTTCCATTTAGCAAATGCTTTTATCCAAGGAGACTTACAGTAAATGGAAACTGTTCAGCTTAAGAGCATAATTTAAAAAAGTATTTTGCTGGTTCTGTTTAAATCACTTATAGATATTATTATTATTATTATATATTTAAATGTAATTTAATTTAATTTATAAATATAAAACATATAGTATATACAATACCATTGCATTAATGTTACAAAAGATTTCGATTACAAATAAATGATGTTCTTTCAATTAACTTTCTATTCATAAAAGAATCCTGGAAAAAAAGTGTATCTCGATAACCACAAAGATATTAAGAAGCACAATTGTTCTGTAGCATTTGGACCAATCAGACACACAACTTTTTGTTATATTTAACAAATAATATCGAACTCCCCATCACCTAACCAAATGGCCAATTACGAGGGTCTATGGACCCTTCCCCCGAAATGCACCTAACACCTCAGAAAGGCAGAACAGGCCTCTGGTTCCATGGTAACCAATGCTGATATCACTGGTTTTATGGCCTAAAAGGAATGCAGGGGATAAACTCCCTCATTTTCCTCATAAGAAAGGCACAAATGCACAGGAGAAACTGACTTTTCTACTAATTAATTCATAGGAAAACCTTCTTTGAATGAACACCCATTTTCTTCAGGCCATTGTGTATATTATTGCTGTGTTGTATTTAATCTGTTGTATTATAGACTATTTTTATTCATGCTTACGATAAACCACTCATTCATATAAGTAACTCTACCATGTCTAGTATCTATGAATTCATCTTCGGATGATCTAACTGAGAGTGCATATTACATGCTGATACCTCTGCAACATATGGATGCTCTAAGAATCATTACTAATTTCTGCATCAACACCCAAGTGAATTACATATGCAAAATACCATGCTTAGAGACAAAGGGCCATAAAAACGCAGAACTCCCACTTGAGATTCCGGACTTCCCCATTGGGCAAGCCCATCTTGAGAGGCGTGAATCTCTGCAGGCTTTAAAGGCCACACTTCAAGAGACCCGCCCCAGTCGGTGGTTCGGTCATTAAGCTAAGAAGATGTGAGAAACGCTTCAGGATACCAAAGCATCTGTGCCAGGCCTTTCTTCGGCCTAGTCCTTTCCATTCATCAAGTGACACTGACTCAAACTGGTTCTTTTCATCGACCCGAATTCAGCAAAGATCTACGGGAAGCTTTAAGATTTGCATCAGGAATCTCTTTCAGACCGCCGAGACTCGCTAAGTATCAAACTTAGTCTTATTAATTGATACATTAAGTATCAGTTACACCTTTTTACAAAGGTGTGTTTGAACTCAGAATCTGACGTATCCCTGAAGGCTTTGATCTGTTGAATATACATGCAAAGTGTTCCATAAAATCCATTCTTTATGCCTCTTTCTATGCTGAGTTAAACTTTAACCCTTTCCTATACCAACTGTATGTGTGTGTGTGTGTGTGTGTATGTGTATGTTAGACCGGCTTAATGTGTTTATGTAGTATGTTAGACTAGTTTAAGTGCTTATGTAGTTAATAAAACCTTACTTGTATCACACTTGACGTGTTCATTGTTTACTCATAACCGGAGTCAATAATCATGCAGATTTACGTTACAAACTTATAGAATTGTACAGTAAGAAAGTTATTTCCTTTAACCAGGAAATTAACGTTCTTAGAATTGACAAGACGGTTGACCCTGAGTGGTCAGCTAAATATCTACAGTGGATCTAAAATATGAATAGTTAATTATAACTAGTTATGGTTAATTATTCATATTTCCCCATGAGCTGATCCGCTACAGTTCTTATCTTTGATAGTAATTTTTTTAGCAAGAAATTAGCATATTAGAATAATTTCAGATCATATGAGACTGAAAACTGGAGTAATTATTTTTACTGGAAATTCACCTTTGCCATCATGTGAATAAATGAAAATGTAAAAGTTGAAAATTGTAATATCACAATATATATCTAGATTTTATTTTATTTTATTTTACTTTTCATGCTATTTATTTCTGTAAAGAACGGCACTTTTATGTTAATGTTTTGTCTGTAATTTAAAAAAACTTATCACATGATTAAATAATATATATTTTCCTTACATAAAATGAAAGCAGTAATGTATCACACACACAGAACCAGCAGGTAAATGTGTCTCAGATTATATGTGCTGAAATGGCGACTCTGGTTAAATCAATGTTAGTGTGAATTAAAGAAAAAAGCACAGTGGGGGACGAGTTTCTAGCAAAGCTCTTCACACTTCCTATCACTCATTTACTGAGCAAAGACAGATGCGATAAATACTACAAACAAACTTCATACAGACTCTGAAGCGTCTCTCTGGAGGAGTAATGATATAACAATAATCAGCTTAGGGACTCTCTGCTCCTCAGAGTGAATGAAACAGAATATGACACACTTATTGCTTCCCCATTGCAAATCAGCATGATATCCGTAGAGGCCTAGTTTTTGGTAAGCCACTTTTGAACATTGTCATCTGGTGTTGACTTGAGTGCTCACTTATGTACTAAGATGTCCAAACCCGAAAGGAAAATGTGTGTATACCTTCAGTTTTATTATCTTATGCACAGGTACACAGCAGATTGCAAAAATTGTTTTGGGTTGGTGAAGATCCCGGTTATGAAGGCTTTGAGGTGGTTGTTAAATTTCAAGTAGCAATTAAAAAGCCCTTCTGTGCTGTAAAGTTTGCACATTTCACTTCAGGACAAATCCATGAATCTTGTATCAAGCCCACAGAAGTCTTGTTTTTACATCAGAAATGGTGTGCTATATTTTAATTCAAACAACTCTCATGAGAAGACCCATAACGTCAAGACAAGATGCCGTCGGGTGAGTGTTGTAAAGAGTTATTAAAATGAAGGGTTCGTATCGGAGTTATTTGTTCAAAACACCTGCTTTAATTAATCAGCTTGGCCTCCTTGGTTTAAGACGAGCTAATTAGCGGATGTTTGGTAGAGATACCTGCAGGGAAAGCAGCGGTATAAATATTTCGCTTCTCGGTTTGTTCAGATTGTCAGTTAATTAGCTCTGTTGAACTGTACAGAGTGAATCGACAGAGCAAACATGATCCATTTCCATGATTTCCAGCGTCATCGTGTTCAGTGCTCTGTTGATGTCAGCCGTTTTGGGTTGAGACGGAAAGATCAAAACTTGTAACTTTTGACCTCTTGCCAATCTTGACAATTTAATGCATTTACAAACTAGCCTTGGTGATCTTTTAACTGCTGTGTGCTTGTAGCGTGACTACAAGTACATGATTTTAAGATAAAGTATGTAATTTCTGCACCACTACAAACAGAACAAAATAAATATTTTTCAAAAAGATTTTCCAGATACCGTCCCATTCCCCATTGTTTACACACTTGACCTTCCATTTATTACGATGGTCATGCGCATAAATATAGCAACAGCAACAAATCAACAGCAACGAGGTCTGTCTCAAGAGGCAGTCTAAGTGGCTTAGTTACAGATTAGTTTGAGAAAACTATTTTTGTCTCATGAAGGAAGATCAGTTTTTACCGGTGTTCATTGCCATGGTAACAAAAGCTGCATGACTAACCTGATCCAGAACAGATTTAGTTTATTTGGGAAAAAGATTTGTGGTAACGCTTTACAATAAGGTTCCATTTAACATTAGTTAACATGAACTAACAATGAACAGTACTTGTTAACCATTTATTAACCTCAGTTAATGTTAATTTCGACATTTACTAATACATTATTAAAATTGTCGCTATTATTTAATGTACCTGTGCTAACATGAATTAACAAATCGTTGTATTGCTAATTTTAAAAAGCCTATAACGTATATTATATAACTAGCATTTTAACCCACATACCATAATTTAATTGTTGCTCGACCCGGTCTCATGGCAATTCGTACTTAATGAGGTGGATAATTCGTACAAATTTCTATGACCTCACTTGTATGAATTTGTACGATTTTTGCTAAATTGTACGTATTTTATGAGTTCCCCAATTTGTATGAATTCATACATATGACCCACCCCTAACCCCGCCCCGAAACCTACGTGTCACTGGGGTCTAGACAAATTGTTCAAGTGAGGTCGTATGAATTTGTATGAATTAGCCACCTCGTAAAATACGTACGGATTGGTCTTGAGATAGCGTTGTATTGTTTTGCAGGGTTTTTTTCATGTACATGTATACTTGTGATGAACACTTAAATGTACTTGTAAATTAAAAAAAGCTTTCAATGTAAATTAAAACAGTGATAAGTTTAAAATAAATGCACAATATTTTAACACATCAAATGATTAAGCTTGCCTTTTATGCTCTTTTTGGAGCTATAAAAATGATAAAGTTTATAAATTAATTCGCATTGATACTTAAGACTAATCTCTTGAGTTTATGCGGAGAAAAAAATTAATCTCTATATAATCTAGAGTATTTGCTAACAGCACAAACACATAAATGTTACATGCAATTTAACAAGCTACAGCACATGGCATCTATCAACGGCTGTTAAATATGAAGTGACTATCATTTAAAACTGGCTGTTTGTTAAAACCTCACGCTGATGAATCTTTCAGCAGCAGGGACTAGTGTGCGCTGGCTGACAGTATAGGTTTTGCATGGCTGTTTGGAAAGGATTAAGGCTCATTACATTCTCAACAGTGGATGAATAGGGACTGTAATGAAATACTGAATGGGACACTGTATAGAGGACTAAATGTCTCCTTCTCATCCACTTCATTTGGTAGAAAATTATTTGTACTTGAGAGACAGATGTTTTACAATAACATGTTTAATCTTAATGGAACACATCTTGACTTTGGTGTCAGGGTTGATGTTTGTGTCAGGTTTCCGGTGAAAGTCTTGCTGAAAGGCTCAAGGTGAGACATTTCAGACCAAGATTCTGAAGAAATCAAAATAAACATGACATTGTCTAAGAAGATACTTCATATTTTTTTCCTTTCATGTCTTTATGGGTGCTCAATAATAATGCATTTTGAATACCATGTCCAAGGTTCCCTTTCAGTCGGTCACTCTCGACGTCACGTCGGAGGACCGACGAAATTGGGATCTCGCTTAGAGGGACCAATCTACTTCGAGTGTAAACTAAACGAGCCAATGCAAATTGGCATGCGATTATTGCATCCAGCTGCTGCTGATCACAGCGTGAGTATAAGTAGGCAGCAGGTGCAGCGCATATTCAGCTTTTCGCTTCGGAGCCGAGCGATCACATCGTTCTGCTCCTGACTACTCTACTGAGAGAAAAGACTGAACGAGTTCAGCGCGCTCTTGGAGAGCTCTTCGTGTTGGTGGACGGCGCTTCAGCGGTGGTGGTTTCCCGTGTCGAGTGGGTTGCACACATCAGGCTGCACTACCCCCTGTTTGTGTTGCAGATGATCATCTCCCCTGTGCGCCTCAGCACGCTAAAAGAGCTTTTTCCCCTAAAAGAGCAATTTCGGGTGCGTCTTTTTAAAGACGACGTTGCTTGGCAAACTTGACGTTACGTCTTTATAAAGACGATGTGGGTCTTGCTATAGACAACGTATCACCCGGGCATTCTGGATGCGGTCGTTACCTGGCGCTGGGTGATGGTCACGATCGCTGCCTCTCGTGCCTGGGCATGAAGCACGCTGAGGTGGCTTTCGTGGATGGTTCATGCTCCCATTACGGGGGTATGACCATCTCGGAGTTGCGGACCGGACTCCGTTACCTGCAAGGGGGCGGAGTGCCCGTGCCACTGCCCAGATCTAGGGTTCCCTCTGGTGGCAGCCGGGGGCGTCCTTTTTCTGGCAGCGGGCGGACTGGTCTTACGGTCACGGTGAGGAATTCCCCTAAGAGAGAAAGGGGATGCCCAAGCCCGCCGGCACTTCGAAACCAGCGGAGCTCTCGGGAAGAGCAGGCTGGACCCTTCCGGGCGGTACCACCTGTTTCTTCCGGGGCTCCCCCCGACGATCAGATGTCGATTGCAGCATCGGAGGGTGAGCCAGAGCTTTCTGGAGAGGAAGATTCGGCTGCGCTGCTCTCCTCCGGGACCGTAGCAATGCCTGGATCGGATCCAGAAATAATGGCTATGCTTTCCCGGGTAGGGGTAGGGCTAGAGTGAAGACTTTCACCGTGTCCCGAGCCCTCAAGGTTGCACGATTGGTTCTCGGGGTGGTCCGCACTGGTTCTCAGCGTCCCGCCTCGGTGCCTTTCTTCCCGGAGGTGCATGAGGAGCTCAGCAGGTCGTGGACAGCACCTTTTACTGCCGGAAACTGATTTGCTGGTGGGGCAGCTAGGGGGTTACAAGGGTCCCCCCGGTGGAGCGGTCGGTTGCGATGCAGCTGTGTCCTAATACCGCCTCCAACCGGCAGGGAGAACCATGCCTCCCCTCCCGGGTCTGTAGGTACTCAACTGGCCAGCGATGCCTATACGACCGGTGGAGAAGCTGCCTCCGCCTTACACGCTACGGCGTGATTGCAAGTGCACCAGGCCAAGGCACTGAGGGACTTGCACGAGGGTGGTCACGACCTGGAAGTTCAGAGAGAACTCCGCACCGCGGCGGACCTCGCGCCACGAGCGACGAAGGTTACGCCGCGGTCTCTGGGTCGTGCCATGTCCACTATGGTGGTCCAGGAGCGCCAATTCTGGCTGTGACTGGCTGACATGCGCGAGACGGACAAGACACGATTCTTGAACGCCCCCGTGTCCCAGGCCGGCCTGTCGGCGACACAGTGGAGAACTTGCCCAGTGGTTCTCCAATGACCAAAGCAGACTGAGGCCATCAGGTACATCCTGCCGGTCCTGCTGCCTACTTATACTCACGCTGTGATCAGCAGCAGCTGGATGCAATAATCGCATGCCAATTTGCATTGGCTCGTTTAGTTTACACTCGAAGTAGATTGGTCCCTCTAAGCGAGATCCCAATTTCGTCGGTCCTCCGACGTGACGTCTCCGTTCCCTCCTTCAGGGAACGAGGGTTACATACGTAACCGAGACGTTCAGTGTCTTACTAAGTTCCTTCTAACATTTTCTTTCTTAAAAAATCAACTTATTTAGGAAAAAAAAGCTGAAGACTGAAGCCTTGTTTTATGAGATATTTTGATGTTCTCTAATATTGTTCTGTGGAGACTTTTTGCTTATGGACAAGAGTATTGGAGCATAATCAAAAAGCACTGCTCTGTCCTCTGGGTAGTGCATATAAGCATTGAGATTCTTATAGTAATTAGGAGTTTATTGAGGCAAAAGTCATAGTTAATAGTTAGTCAATAGTGAGATTTGGTCCCTAAACTAAAGTGTGACTAAAAGGTCTGCATAATACAGCACTTTTAAATATAAACAATCCCGAAATACACTAGGACTTTTATTTTGAAGTATTCATGCTGTACTAAAAATTATATAATACGCACACTTACAACAATAAATTACAATATAAACACCAGTAATTTATCAATAGTAGAAAATACACAAATCACTTGGAATAAATGTGTGCTATTCTTTGATTGTGCTGAACTTTGGAACGTGCAGATTTTTAGTGAATACAACTTTCACATTGTTCTTTTCTCATAGCTACCATGTGGATTCAGAAGATTATGAATATAGCAAGTTGTATGCATACATTTTTAGTAGGCTACTTTTGTGCTGTTTGAAGGAAGGACTTCATTAATAAAACTAAATAAAAAGCATTTCTAGTCATATGATGGCCATTTAAAATCTATTTCTGTGCTTTTTCATCAAATTCAGAGAATGGCTTTTCTTCATGGTGTTAGTACCTTTGCATGCGGCTGCTGAAAGGTGACTCTTGAATTGTTGGCCAGGGCAGAGTACCTCAACAGGTTGGTGGGTGTGGCTGGAAATCTGTGTAAACTTCCTGTCTGGCTGTGTAGGACAGACGAGAAGCAGATATGCACGGTGTCCTTTAGGGCTTTCAGCTGTGACTCCTGCAACAAATTAAGTGAGACAACACATGAGATTAATGGGCAAATGTTTATCACGCTGTCATCTGTTCATTTGCTCCACGCGCTCTGTCAAAATTGCAAAATCCCTGACCTAATAACATAATAGAATTCATTTTTAAGTTTGCATTTTAAAAGATAGCAGAATAGAAAAACACTAAAGCTGAATTGGAATGATGAAACGGATCGGCTCCTGACTTACCTTATCCAGTGCCGCCTTCTCCAGTTCATCTTTGGCCACTTTGAGTTTATTCTCCAAGTCCATCAGTTGCTGACCCTGCACAGAAGAGGCATTGATGCTCTTATCCTCTTACCAAACTGGCATATGCCTTAGTTCAAAATGTGTGTTTATATTTAAAATGGTTTCCAGAATCTAGAGTATTTTATTCAATACATGTGTAATTACAAATGGTATTATCAACAATTTAAACAAATCGTTTGGATTTACAGAACAATTTGAAAATGATCCACAAAGTATTTTAAGCTTCAAAGGGAGAGGAACATGGTCAATAGAAGACATTTACTTATTCAATTACTGACCCAGAAATAGTCCAGAATCTTAAACATGTCTTTCTTAAATATTTAATTTTGGACCTAATTATTTATTTGTTTTAAAAATCTTAAAATCCTAAATTGGCTGTTTATTTCAAGCTTTAAATTAGATTTAAATCTTATATGTTCAATGTGGTCACGGACATTGTGGATAATGAGCAAACTATTCAAATAACCATAATTTCTTTTCTGCTAGATTTTTCTTTAGATCTTTACATCTCTAGGTTTATTTATATATAATATATTTTGGGTTGCATGAACTCTACTGTGAATGCTTATATAATTGAGCGTGATGCTCTTCTTTGAGGCAGAACTACATAATGACTTGCCCTCAGTATGTCATTAGTTTAGTTTCATAAATATTGCTATATGACTGTGATGCTATTTGTGCAGTCAACAACAGACTCATTGAGATGTGAACAGGTGATAGAGATTGCCCATCTGGGATCATTAGCACACGTTATCTGGGAGACGAAAAGTAGAGTGCCTGGATATAAGACAGAAATTCGGTATTCATATTTTACAGAATGAACTCAAATGTTCAGTTTCTTCAATATAAGTAGTCATCTAAAATCTAACATGAACAGGCCATGATTTTACATTTTCACAAGTTTGAATGTTCCTGAAATCATAAAAAAGATGAAGAGTCATTTTGTTTGTGCTAAAAAGCCATTCGTTTGTGAATAGCTTTTTAGAAAGAGGTGAGACCTTTAGAAAATACTAAAGTCTTTAGTTTTGAGCAAGAAACAAAATCAATGTAAGACACATCAGTCTAAAGAAAAATAGCTCTAAGATAGTGTTTTTCTCAGCGACTCGGTGGTTAAGCATGGACTTACACACAAAGTTAATACACAACAAAACACAAGTAATTTAGAAATGAAAATAAGGTTAATATGGCTGGCTGGATAAACCAAATACATCTTTAATATTTCATTTCGTATTCAATTCTAAATGTACAAATGAATGTTCCTTGTTATATAGCATATTTATTGCATTGTGAGCTATTTTGTAATTTGGTTTGTTTTCAATCAATACAACATTACCATAATCACAGTAAATTGTGGAATATCCTAATTGCTAGTAAGGCAGCTGCCAATTTAAAAAAAAGACTGTATTCAAAGTATAATTAAAAGAAAGAACATTGCAATCATTCTGATTGTGTCTTATAACAAGCTATTATGCAATTGCCATCACAATTTAATCTTTAATCTATTTGTGATTATTTTCGCAGACTTCTTTCAAGCACAACAGAGAATAGCTACCAAAGCGATGGATTACAAAAGCTGAATCAGAAAGAACTATTGATAAAGGAACTGATGCTAGATCAGGTAATAAAGGACAACTACTGTACCAAGCAAATGCTAATGATTTACATCAAGTTTTGATTAAACAGCAGTGCCACACAACATAAAACATATTTATTATCTATAAATAATCTGACATACCTGTGCATAATTCAGACACTTCACTCCAACACAACAAGACATGATTGTGATAAATGGCAGCACTTCAAATAAGAAATTTAAAAAATCCATTTAATTCTGGCTAGATCTGGGGAAAATACTTTGACAAAGCAATCTTGCTCATTGTCCTTCTCTAGCTATTTGCCATGCTAGCCTAAGCCTCTGAATATTCTTCCTTTGCTTCCCATTACCGAACAATGACTTTTCAAACCGACTCGTACTTAAAAGGCAACTCTAGATAAAAACTCTGAAAATAACTTCTTTAATCATGAATATAAAAGGAGGAGGGATAATCTTCCTACATCGATTTTTCAAACAGGGGAGGCAGAAATAGATGTACAGCCCAGATAAAAACACATTAGAGGAAGGTAAGCTCAGATTGGATATTGCTCTTTGAAAAAGTTTGCCTCATAGAGCAGGCAAACAACAAAAATAATAATTTTACAACACGTGTTAGGCTGTCTTCCCGATTAAGAAGCAATCGTTTTAAAGTGATGCACTTTGTGTGAAAACCCAGTGTTTATATGACGGTACCAAAGGGCAATGTGCTAGAAATATCAGCTGACATTTTCCCATCTAACACTGCAAATAAGAGAGGAAAGGTCAACCTGCATGGCAGGAAAGGTCACTGTTTTTTACATGAATCTTCACTCTCATGTCACATGAAAAGGTCAAACCATTCAATATTACTCCTAATTTGTTTTATTTTGGCCAGAAATGCAGATTATTATGTATGATTTTTAGGATGGTGACATTCACATTGCTTTGTTTCCGCTTTCAAAAACATCTCAGAAGTCAGTGTGGTTAAAAGTGGTTAAAGACCCCTTAAAGAAGAGAGGTTTGTGGCTCTTAGACCTTTTTGGAAGCTGTAAAGGCTTGCATATTTCTAAAAGTTGATCAAACTAACTTCTAGCAAATTAATTCGCATTCCATACCGTTCCAAAGTTTGGCCGTCAGTAGGTTTTTTTAATACTTAATTCAGAAAGGAGTGACTTTGTAACAAGACATTTGTAATGTTACAACATATGTCTATTGGAAATAAATGCTGATATATGAAACTTTCTATTCATCTAAGGATTCAGAAAACAAACAAATATTTTTCAACGTTGATAATAAAAATAGTTTCTTGAGCACCAAATCAACATATTATGATTTCTGAAGGATCAAGTGACACTGAAGACTGGAGAAATGGCTGCTGAAATATCAACTTTGCTATCACAGGAATAAATTGTATTTTAAAATATACAGCGGGTAAAATAAGAATTGAACACGTCTTATATGTTTTTCTAAAGGTGCTGTTGACTTGAAATATTCACCAGATGTCATTAACAACCCAAGTAATCCATACATACAAAGAAAACAAAACAAATAAGTTCAGAAATTAAGTTATGTGTAATCAAATGGAATGACACAAGGGAAAATAATTGAACATATGAAGAAAGGGAGGTGTAAAAAGGCATGGAAAGCCAAGACACCAGCTAAAATCTTTCAGTAATTAGAAAGCAATCCTGCCCCTAGTCAGTGGAAAATAATATTAGCTGGTTCAGTCCCAACACCTACAGTACCAGGATGATGAAGATGAAACAAGGGTGGACATTTCAGCAAGACAATGTTCCCAAACACAGCCAAGGAAACTCTCAATTGGTTCCAGAAAAAGAAAATAAAGCTGCTAGAATGGCCCAGCTAATCACCTGACTTGAATCCAATAGAAAATAAGAACTAAAGATCAGAGCTCATAGAAGAGGCCCACAGACCATTCAATATTCTAAGTCACTGTGGAAGAATAGGCCAAAATCACACCTGAGCAATGCATGCGACTAGCTTCCTCATACAGGAGGTGTCTTGAAGCTGTCATTACCAACAAAGGCTTTTGTACAAAGTATTAAATACATTTCAGTAGTTCAATACCTTTTCCCTGTGTCATTCATTTTAAATACACATAACTTAATTTCTGGACTTATTTGTTTTGTTTCATTTGTATGTATGTATTACTTTGGTTGTTACCGACATCTGGTGAAAATTTCATGTCAACAGCACTTTTAGAAACATATTTGGTTGAGAATGAAAATCGGGTTGACGTCAGTATTTCACACCAATTTCACGTTGACTTAACGTAGGATTTTGGTCATGCAATCTAAAAACAACAAATATCAGCGTCAGCTGATGCCAGTATTGGACATCAAACTACCTTTGACATTGAATTTTGGTCACCCGACGTTGCAACTGAAATTGAACCAAGTGTCAACGTCTTATGACGTTGTGTGCCTGCTGGGAATATTAACAACATTAAATTCTTAGCACAATTAAACAAAAGATCTGGTGATGTGTCCTGACTGACTGACATAGTAAACTGAATCAGAAATATCTTGTACATGGTTAGAGTAACAAGACAACACACAATAGTAAGCCAAACGGGCTTGTTTGGTTCTTACCTTAAAAATTAAATCCTTTTTGCCATACCTCAGCTCTTTCAGTTGGGCTTGGATTTTTTTGGACTGCAAAATGAAGATAAGAGAGAATGTGTGTTAGCTTACTCAAATAGTAAAATTGGTTTTAGATTGTGTAGCAGGCTTTTTGTGGCTGCGCCGAAGTGTTCCTTTGTAAACGTTTGCTGGGCAAAGCTCCAATTCAAAGGAGAGACCTTCACTGAGCAAGAAAATATAAAACTCTTCCCTTCAGTGGACTGCAGGGACCACTCGATGATGCAAACACATTAACACATCAACACCCAGGCATACACACTTGCACAATAACACTCACTCCATGGTATGGTATTGTCTTGGCTTGCTGCCTGTGGATTGCTGCCACAGTTGTAAACATTTACAGAATCAAACATGCACACACACACATTCACTCCTCTTACAGTATAGCATCAATGTCTTCAGTAATCTCTTAGCAACTGAAGTGTACAGCACCTCCACAAAACTAATGAGACGTCATTCCTCTCTCCCTCTTAGAAAAGCAAAATCACATTGCCAATACACTTGCATTTAGTTGTCTTGCCAGTTTTTTTAGCTTGGAATGAGTTGAATGTTGAGTTTGTAATATCAAGTTGGTTGCACTTGAATCTAGCACTAACCTACAAAATGTGTGTTTAAATATATACCATTTCGGGTCTCTCTTTTTTTAAAGTAATTAAAACATTTTATTCTGCAAGAATGCAATAAACTGTTTTAAAAGTGACAGCATAGATAGATATTCATTGATTCAAGTAAATTCTGTTCTTTCAAACGTCATATTCATCAAAGAAACTAAAAAAAATTATAATATTTTCAACATTTATAATAATGCTTGCTTCTTGAGCAGCAAATCAGCATATTAGACATTTTTCTGAAGGATCATATGACACTGAGGACTGGAGTAATTTTAAACTGTAATAATATTTCATAATATTACTGTTTTTACTGTATTGATCAAATAAATGCAGCCTTGGCAAGCATAAGTTACTATTTTATTCACTTTATTATTTTTCGAAAGATTATTCGGGTATGATTTGCAATAAAATTCCATTTCAGTCTTTCTACTTCAAAGGTTTGTTTAATTCAGTGTTTCTTGCCGTTTCTTCGTAATTATTGTAAAAATTTACTAGCAATTTCTGAATAAAAAAATGTTTCTTCACCAAAGTGTAAGAGAAAACCTTTTGTCAATAATCATTAAACATAATTTTGTAATTATTTTTGCATTCAAACTCAAAAATCTGAGTGTGGCATGTGAATAGGTGTGAATATGCATAATGCGTCAACATTATTTTTGGTCTGAATAGAAATGCTGAAGTATTTTCAACTGTGTTTGAGTGCACAACAGTCAGCACAACATACCTCCTCTGCATGTATGTCACAGAGCTTGTTCCCGGACAGAAGTTTGTTCTTCAGGCTTTTATTCTGCAAGACAAGAAAAGGCAGTAAATAGAGATATACTGTACCGACGGCTTTGTAACATCAAGCTTGAAACAAGCCCAGAGGTCTTGTTTTATCTAGGTAAATACACTCAATTTAATGGTACCCGTCCCTTGCAAAAGCAATGCTTCAACTGTTTCCATTGAGCTCATTTTGACAGTTCCCTCACAAGCTTATTGAAGCTCAAGGTGACCCAGGAGTATATGCCTCATTTCTGTAATAACCTGCAGTGGATGTCTTTATGGAAATAGATGATGGTAGATTAAGAATCAATACAGAGGTGATGGTGGTGCTGAGTTTAATCTAGTGCTTTTCTCCACCTCCTCTTTTTTCTTTCTCTCTTTTCGTGTCCTTTTGCTTTTATTTTTTCTCTCATTATCTCTCTCTGCCTCAATTTCTCACTTCCTTTGTCTCTGTGTTGGTTCCAGATGCAAATGTACATGCTTTTAGTGGCAATGTCACCCAGTTTCAGACCCACCAGGATTTCGCAGGACTTTTTGCTGATAATTGCGGCTCCAAAAACTTACTGAATTTCCAGAGGCTTTTCTCTAAAATTGCGATACTTGTGGTATTTTTGGCGTTGTTTTGCAGTGAAAACCCAGCAACACTCATGCAATTAATGTTAGTGACAATAGAAGTACAATTTCCTGTAATTATTTTAGTGCATAATAACTAAATATGACAACAATGATGACAATAACTAAATAAGACAACAATGACGAAATAGCCTGCATATTTGTGTATTCTGTTTTCAGCATAAATTAAAAAAAAAACAGAATGTGTCCACAGAGTGATCATGTTAACGAAATCTTTTCAGTCATTAACACAACTGGGCAATTAGGTTCTGAGAGTTCTGGTAATAATTTTCTTGAGAGACTAAATATACATAATCATTTTTTTTTTCTATGCATGTCATACACCATCAAAAACTGTATAGTTACTGAAACCTCTCATTGAATACCATTCAAAAGTTTGGGGTGCGTAAGCTTTTTTTTCATAATTTTTTTTTTTTTATTAATTTATTTAATTCTGCAAAGGACATATTAAATTGATGAAAAGTGACCATTACATTGTTCTAAAATATTTATATTTATATTTAACTTTATATTCCTGAAAGAAAAAAAGGTATCACAGTTTCCACAAAATATTAAGCAGAGCAACGTTTTCAACATTTATAATAATAAGAAATATTTCTGGAGCACCAAATCAGCATATTTAAATGAGCTTTGCCATCACAGGAATAAATCACATTTTAAAATATATTTAAATTGAATTAATAAAGTATTTCACAATATTACTGTTTTCTCCACTTTATTTTTTATATATAAATGCCGTGGTCAGCATAAGAGACCTCTTTCAAAAACATCAAACATTAATCTTACAGAACCCAAACATTTGAACACTAAAGTACAGACATTTACAAACTTACTGACGCTATTGTTACTATCTAATGAAGTCAGGAAATGAGAGTGACTGGTAAACTTGGTCTTAGCATTTCTGTGTGATATTTATGTGAAGATCAAGGGAACATTTTAAATTGCATTTTGAAGGGCACTGCAGGAACGGGACACCTTTTATAGGGTCATTCCAAATGAACATGAGTAACTGGAGAGGACACAAAGAGACAGGGTTGGATGCTGAAGTTTTATTTGTCTCAACAGTCTTAACTGCTAACATGAATTTTGCTGCTGCGCTGTCATTGCTTAAAATGTAAGTGGCAGTGACATCTTTGTATAGAGTGCATACATGCGAGACAGAATGAGACACCTTTCAGATTGTTGATTAGCTAATATTGTACTTTTCTCCTTTAAATTTGTATTTTTTTGGCAGAAAAATTGCAAAAATGGGAGAAAATTGCACATTACCACAAGTAAAATGGGGTCTGGCTGAATTTGCCTCAATTTGTGTGATTGCAAAATCCCAATAGTTCATTGCATCTGTCCAACCAAGTGCAGTTTTCATTGAATTGCACGAAATTATAGAATTCGTTCATGTGGGGAGCAAAAACATTTCATTTACTTCCGCCAAGTGATGTCAGTAATGTCAAAGCCATTATCTCAGCAGAACACTTGCTTTTCATACCATATTTGTCACTTCCGTCATTAAATTAACGCTGAAAGTTCAACAGGCTCTTTTCTACTTTTACTGTAATTACAACACCTGCTGTGTAACGAGTCACAGTGACCAACACCAACAAATTGACTGGGGAATATATAATAGCTAGTGGACCACAGAGGTGTTACATTAAAGTGACTGTGTAAAAGAGAAAGAATAGGAATGGAGAAAGGAAGGAAGGGACGTTCTGAGAGCAAGTGAAAGAGTGTTTGAGGTAATGAAGCAGAATAGCATTGCAATGCAATTCAATGAGGTGGAATTGGCTGAGTATCAAATCTACAGACTTGCTTTTCTACCCCTCTCTGAAGAAGAATGAGTGCCCAAGTCTGTAAGAAAAATGGCGGCTCTCATTAAAAGTGACATGTGGCTGCCCTGCTACAGACTGCAATGACACAAGGATCCATCCAAGCAGATAGGGCACAGTGCAGTCAAGTCACTTCAAACAACAACCATGAAAAAACTCATAGCCTTAAAGGGACAGTTCACCCAAAAATGAGACTTCTGTCACCATTTATTCAGCCTCATGTTGTTCCAAACCTGTATGACATATGGAACATAAAATAAGCTGTTTTTAGTCCATACAATGAAAGCCAGTGGCGTCCAGTTGTTATTATATAGGTTTAGATCAACATAAGGGGGAGTAAATGGTGACCAAATTTTCATTTCTGGTTGAACTATCACTTTAAATCTTGCATTACCTTTTCATTCCCTATTTAGTAAAACTATAAAGCTAAATTGAGTGATAAGCAAAATTCACTCAGCCACGGTAAGTGATACAACCATTACTTTAACAAATTAAATAGTTATTATGCTGTCATCATCTATGGCTTGACTTCAGTTGAACTAAGGGACTTTCCATTTTATGTTCAATTAAAGGCCATTCCACTGTAATGATTGAGGTGGATCAGACACATGAGTATTTGTTATATTTAACAAATAGTGGACAATACCCCTCCCCAACAAGCAAAATATGTGGTAGGGAGAACCAGGCCTCTGGTTACGGTGGTAACAAAGACACACATCAAGATAAGATTGTTTTACAACTCAAAGGAATGTAGAGTTTTCAATCTAATTTCACTTTGAAACAGACAAACGTACCCTTGCACTATACAGTCCATCCTAATTCTATCTATCTCCCTCTAGATATACATAACCACTTGAGAAATGTAGGGACATGTACCCAATTTTCCCCATCTCAATTTTTCCTCTTATAGTGTTTTGCTTATGTATTGATACATCAAGATAAGATTGTTTTACAACTCAAAGGAATGTAGAGTTTTCAATCTAATTTCACTTTGAAACAGACAAACGTACCCTTGCACTATACAGTCCATCCTAATTCTATCTATCTCCCTCTAGATATACATAACCACTTGAGAAATGTAGGGACATGTACCCAATTTTCCCCATCTCAATTTTTCCTCTTATAGTGTTTTGCTTATGTATTGATACGAACTCTTTTAAATGAACATTTTAGAATTGCATACTATTGTTAACAGAGATCACAGGTATGCCATGTTTGGTATCTTTCGTCTAGATTTTTAATGGTCTAAATGTTCATTTATATTATATGTTGATACCTCTGGAAGGTATTAGTGTTACCAGAATCTTTAATAGTTTCTTCATCAACATCCAATCAAAGTCCATATGCAAAACATATGCCTGAGGACAAAGGATCGTAAACTTTCCCTCAGAAGGTACATTTTCTCATTGGCTCACTCGCCTCCTGAAGAGTGGGACATCCTCACAATTTAAAAGATCATAAGATCAGAGTTACTGAGAAGAAGTTTTCAGATGCAGAAACTCCAAGAAGCAGAGCTAAGAGTTCTCAAGAACCCAACCTAAGCTTGTGCCAGGCTTCGGCCTAGTCTTTCCACTTCAAGATCCTTCAGCAAAGACCAACTTGAGCCTTCAGATTGCATCAAGACTCTCTTTCAGACAGACAAGACGTGCAAGTATCAAACTTAAGTCTTTTTAAGTGATACATTAAGTATAATTTGCACCTTTTACAAAGGTGTGTTTGAAGACTGCAATGACACAAGGATCCATCCAAGCAGATAGGGCACAGTGCAGTCAAGTCACTTCAAACAACAACCATGAAAAAACTCATAGCCTTAAAGGGACAGTTCACCCAAAAATGAGACTTCTGTCACCATTTATTCAGCCTCATGTTGTTCCAAACCTGTATGACATATGGAACATAAAATAAGCTGTTTTTAGTCCATACAATGAAAGCCAGTGGCGTCCAGTTGTTATTATATAGGTTTAGATCAACATAAGGGGGAGTAAATGGTGACCAAATTTTCATTTCTGGTTGAACTATCACTTTAAATCTTGCATTACCTTTTCATTCCCTATTTAGTAAAACTATAAAGCTAAATTGAGTGATAAGCAAAATTCACTCAGCCACGGTAAGTGATACAACCATTACTTTAACAAATTAAATAGTTATTATGCTGTCATCATCTATGGCTTGACTTCAGTTGAACTAAGGGACTTTCCATTTTATGTTCAATTAAAGGCCATTCCACTGTAATGATTGAGGTGGATCAGACACATGAGTATTTGTTATATTTAACAAATAGTGGACAATACCCCTCCCCAACAAGCAAAATATGTGGTAGGGAGAACCAGGCCTCTGGTTACGGTGGTAACAAAGACACACATCAAGATAAGATTGTTTTACAACTCAAAGGAATGTAGAGTTTTCAATCTAATTTCACTTTGAAACAGACAAACGTACCCTTGCACTATACAGTCCATCCTAATTCTATCTATCTCCCTCTAGATATACATAACCACTTGAGAAATGTAGGGACATGTACCCAATTTTCCCCATCTCAATTTTTCCTCTTATAGTGTTTTGCTTATGTATTGATACGAACTCTTTTAAATGAACATTTTAGAATTGCATACTATTGTTAACAGAGATCACAGGTATGCCATGTTTGGTATCTTTCGTCTAGATTTTTAATGGTCTAAATGTTCATTTATATTATATGTTGATACCTCTGGAAGGTATTAGTGTTACCAGAATCTTTAATAGTTTCTTCATCAACATCCAATCAAAGTCCATATGCAAAACATATGCCTGAGGACAAAGGATCGTAAACTTTCCCTCAGAAGGTACATTTTCTCATTGGCTCACTCGCCTCCTGAAGAGTTGGACATCCTCACAATTTAAAAGATCATAAGATCAGAGTTACTGAGAAGAAGTTTTCAGATGCAGAAACTCCAAGAAGCAGAGCTAAGAGTTCTCAAGAACCCAACCTAAGCTTGTGCCAGGCTTCGGCCTAGTCTTTCCACTTCAAGATCCTTCAGCAAAGACCAACTTGAGCCTTCAGATTGCATCAAGACTCTCTTTCAGACAGACAAGACGTGCAAGTATCAAACTTAAGTCTTTTTAAGTGATACATTAAGTATAATTTGCACCTTTTACAAAGGTGTGTTTGAACTAAGAAACTGATGTTTCCTTCAGGCTGTAGATCTGCTGAATATAAATTTTTACCATAACTTCATGCTTTATTTCTTTTCTCTTTACTGCTTAAGCTTTAACACATTTTACACATTAAGCCATCTGTATGTATGTGTGTGTGTGTGTGTGTGTGTGTGTGTGTGTTTTAGACTAGTTTCAAGTGTTTACGTAGTTAATAAAGTCTTACTTGTATCACACTTGAGGTTGTTCATTGTTTGCTCATAACTGGAGTCCCTAATCATGCAGATTTTTGCTACATGCTCTGAGTAGTATTGTACAATGAGAAAGTTATTTTCCTTAAACAGGAAAGTAACATTCTTAGAATTGACAGACAGCTGACACTGAGACGTCAAGTGAATACTTACAGCGGATCTAAATATTTATAAATAATCATAACTAGTAATGACGGATTATTCATATTTCCCCATTGAGCTGATTCGCTGCACCACTGTAGACTTTACCTTGAATAACACTGAATATTGCAGTAGTTAGAACATAAATCTCTATTGAGAAAAACTATCATGCCATTTCTACATTTTCTCCATTAATTTACAAACAGTCGTTGGCAAAAAGAAACTGCAGTGGCTGGTGATTGTTCTCTTCTTTGATGAATGAAAGCATTTAATATTGTTTTATTTTATTTCACATTTAATCTCACATATCCTGTAAATGCTACTATTAAAAATTAAGAAAGTATATTTCTTTGATGTTCTGAGGAATTAATACATTAATAATAATAAAAAAGTGTTCAGTACCTCTTGCTGAAGGTCTTTGATGATTTTGGTCTTCTTTTCCATCTCCATCTTTAAGAACTTTATCTGCATGGAAAAGGGGAAACATTTTGCATATTAAAGCCCCAGCAGCATTCTGTACAGAAAAAAAGCATCATAAATTGTGCATGATGATCTAATTTAAGGAAGAATGACGTATGCTGTTAAATATACACTACTGTTCAAAAATTTGGGGTTGGCAAAATTTTATGTTTTTGAAGTCTACAAAAATACAGCAAAACCAAATTAAAATGACAGTTTTCTATCTAAATAACTGTTTCTCTACTTTATTCAACAAAGTTCAAAATAACTAAAGAATCAATTTAATGTATCCTTGATGAATAAACGTATTAAATGCTTTAAACTGCTTTACTTTTGCACAGTAATGTACAGTACGTACATAAATACAACTGCACAGTTATCTTTGTAATTCAATTTATTAGATTATTCTGAGCTGTATATACCTTTTTATTCATTGTATTTATTATTTGTTTTGCAGGCTTGATTTGGGGGTTTACAGATTAAAATATTAAAGAAAGAATGAAATTGAATAGCAAGGGTAGATCAGATCTTACTGTACATTTGTTGTGTATGACTGCAATGTAAATTCATGAAAACCTCAATCATGTTCACCCCTGGTGAACTGAACTCAAATGAAAAGAGAACCATATAAAAATATTTCAACACGAGCCTATATGGAATACAAATGTGAAAGCGAAGGTTTCCCAAAACAATCCAGAGCATGGTACAAATAACCAAAAAAGAATCAGAAGTGTTTACAGCCCTGAGGGTGAACCACAGCTCCAATCAAATAGAACGTTCCACTATTGCTCCTTATTCCTTATTCACCCAGCTCAGCCCTGAATGTCAAACTACCTCAACTCTCATTCTCTCTCTCTTGCCTCCAGCCATGGCAGACACTGTGGAAAAATAACAACACATCTAAATACTGAGGTCGAGCAGCTGTGTGCGGTTCCAGACAATACGGCAGCAGCGTACCTGCGGGTGTATTCATTCCGATTAGCACTTTAATGTAATTCAGTCCACAAGCTCACATATTGATATACTGCAGTCAATGCATAGATATTTTTTGCAATCTTGGTTTTTTGGATTACAATAGAATAATGTCTTGTTCCTCATTTCCTGGTTCCACATGGCTTTGTCTGCAGACCATATGCAATCTGAGTATAAATTTAGGGAATGTCTTGACTAAGCATGTTTTGACTGGTCAAATAAGTCAAAGGTTTTTAGGAGTTTCTAAATTAATCTTAAATAAGAGTTCACCCATAAATTTTAATTCGGTAACACTTCTCACAACAATCAATTCTCACTATTAACTAGTTGCTTTATAGTATGCCTATTGGCTGTTTATTAATACTTATAAAGCACATATTCTGCACAACCATATTCTACATCCCTAATCTTACCCAATACCTAAACTTAACAACTACCTTACTAACTATTCATAAGCATCAAATTAGGAGTTCATTGAGGTAAAAGTCATAGTTAATGGTTTGTTAATGGCGAGAATTGGACCTTAAAATAAAGTGTGACTGAAAATTCTGTCATAATTTACTCTCATGCCTTTCCAAACCTGTATGACTTTCTTTCTTCTGTGAAACACAAAAGGCGGCATTTTGAAGAATGTTGGTAACCAAACAGTTTTAGTTAACATTGACTTCTATTGTATTGACAAAAAATATCTTATGTATCTGATTATGTTTTCATTTGTGGGTGATATATTCATTGAAGGAGGTAGATATGTTAAAGGATATTTTTGTCCAGGGGAGTGGGTCCAAAACAACACTGCACCAGTCATTGTATGGACCAAAAAACACTAACACATTTTTCAAAATATCTTATTTCATGTTTTGAAGCCTCGTGTCATTGATTTTCTTCTGCAAAACATGAAAATAAATGATGAAAGATTTTTCATTTTAAGAAGATCTTTTCCTTTAAGAAGCTAAAACTCTCTCTATCGCATGAGTTTTGAATATGCAGTTTTAATAAGCTGATATGGCCTTTATTCTTCTTACCAAAACAGTTTGGTCTCAGGATTATGCTAACGGATCAACATAATAGCTAGATAATGTAAAGGTTGTTATAAAAAGACACTTACAGGCAAACAAAAGGTCACAGCTCATTGGGGCGTTTCAACAGCAGTGTAAAATGTTAACATTCCCCGGACAGAACGGCCACATTGTTGCAGCTTGTGAATATATGTGGGGTTGTGAATCGGCTTTGCTATCTGTAATTGGTGTCAATTGGTGGTGAACTGTTCACAGAATGGAAAGAATGGCCAGAGCTGGTGAAATGCTAATTCTCAGCGATTCATTCTCATTCCAAACACGAGCCCCTGTGCCTCTATCCCCCGCAGTATGCGCGCAGCCACACACAGAGATGAAACAAGAAAAGTTGCATGCAGATAATTGTGTATCTCCTCCAGAGTCAGCAAGGTGCTTCCTACAGTTTTCCATAATTACTGTAACATAACTCTTCCAGACCTAAAGGTAAATGCCTAAAATAGAAAAGACTCTCTCTGGCCCCTCCATGTCATCGCAGTGACTTTAATGAGGATTCCAGTGTTTTCCAGTATGTAAAGAGGGTGCAGTGGTGACAGCAGAATGAATGAAACCATGATATTTAGTCCAATTGTGCTTTAAAGCAGCAATAACAAACCTAAATTACCCTCTTTCTGTACTAACCTATAGTATAGTTTCAAAGAAAAGCTTATTTTTTTGTCTAATTAGTCATTCTAGTTTTAAGGGGAAAACTTTTTTTGTTACTCTTTAATTTCTTTTTCCCCATTTTAAGGGTGTTGAAATATTCATTTACTTCATTTACTAAATATTCAAGTACTATTTTAAAACGTACAATCCTATTTTCAATTAACTTTTACGTACAATTTGTGTGTTTTAAAATAGGGTAGAGAAGCATCCTTTTCTTTGAAGATTTCAAGCATTCAAATGTGCCCCTACACTTTAAAAAAAATTATGCTTCTTTACAGGCAATGATGGTTCCAAGAAAAACATTTAAAGGTCCCATGACATGCTGCTTTTTGGATGCTTTTATATAGGCCTAAGTGGTCCCTAGTACTGTATCTGAAGTCTCTTTCCCGAAATTCAGCCTTGGTGCAGAATTTCAGCCACTACGAGCTAGTCCCACAATGAGCTTTCCTTAGGATGTGCCATTTCTGTGTCTGTAGCTTTAAATGCTAATGAGGAGGAGAAAGGCGGGGCAAGGTGCTTCGCTCGTTTGCAAGCCATGATGTCTCTCGAGGAAAAAAAAATATTGCCTCGCCTCGCACGGTAGTAGCTCATTTTCTCATGGGCGGGCCAAATTCTCTGGGCGGGCAAAGCAGAGAAAGGGGAGGTAACCTTTCCCCGTATGACGACAAAGGGAAGCTTCCAGATTGGGCCATATGAGCTTTCATTTTCTCAAAGGTGAAGCAGGATACCCAGGGCTCGGTTTACACCTATCGCCATTTCTAGCCACTGGGGAACCATAGGCAGGCTAGGGGAGCTCATATTAATGTTAAAAAACCTCATAAAGTGACATTTTCATGCCATGGGACCTTTAACATTCATGGAACCTTTCCATTCCACAAAGGATTTTTTTAATGGTGGAAAAAGATTCTTTAGACTTTTAAAAAGGTCATTTTAAGTACTATTTGCTGAACGGTTCTTTTTTTGGGGAAGCTAAAATGGTTCTTCTATAGCATCACTGTGAAAACTCCCTGTTGAACCTTTATTTTTAAGAGTGTAACCGAAGAATCACCCATGGACAAATAAAACCAATGATTTTGTCAGAAAACAAGTGAGTGGCAAAATGCTATAGGCAATTATCATTAGTATTTTGAGACAGTCCCCAAAGGCCAAGTTTATGTGGTTAGTAGTTTGACTGGACTGTATTTGTACAGTTTAACACATCAGTGTAAAGGGTCTCACGGTGGCCTGCTGTTTCTCTGCGCGTTCAGCTGCATCATCCAGTTGTTTCTGCAGAGCTGCCTGGAGTGACTTCATCTCATCCCTGTGAATGAGAGAGAAAGAAAAACAAATAGAAAACAGTGAATAAGAGTGCACAGGGGAATAGTGATCACAGCGGCCACTCCAAGGGTTTGCTTTTAACTTACATGTCTGATATTTACATTCTAAAACACATACAATGCAATTTCTGAACATGAAGACACACAAATTCATAAACCAAAACTGATTACAAATCACTGAACAATGTCTATAAATACAGGCCCATGACAAATATGTAAATTAATACACCCTATCATATTATGCAGGGTTTGCCCACACACTGTACACTAGCTGTTTTGTTCTTTAGAATGAGAAATGATTTAATCAGATGCACTGCGTTGTTTAAAACTCAAATTTACTACATTTTCTAATAGACAGTTCACTATAATCTTGGAGTTGTTGTTCACTAAATGCTCAGCAGGAAAAGAAACAAGCAACAATTGTATTTGGTCTTTCAAACATTCTTGAAATAAATTAAATAATTAAATAAATAATTGAAGATAAATAAGCAAGGATGAAGGGGCAAGCTTGTTATAAACAAACTTTTTGTCCCTATGGTGAAAACTCACCTAACTTTGCATGCATGCGGGGTCCAGGCTAATTGCATTCTCTGTAATTTTAGGATGGATGGGATGTATGGTTGCCTAGCAACTAGTGGATAAATTTGCAATATTCATAACATCAGCCCCACTACACTGTTTGAGCTCAAGACTTAATATTTCACATGAGAGCCACTCTCCTTATAGGAAACAAATTTTCCTCAAGGACCACCAAGTTCCACAATTAAGATATGTTTTCAGTATTTGACATTTCAGGCAAAACCAGAGGCTAAATGCTTCTTGAGAACGGCTCATCCAATTGATCAAATGAGATTTCTGACATGCCATCTTTGGAAATGGCTTTCATATGTTTACAAAATGTAATACGATTGGAGTTGATGGATCTAGAAATCAAAATGTAAGCTTGTCAAAAGGGCACTACATAGCAGCCACAAGGATTATACTCATGAGGACACTTGAAAAAATGACATGACAAAAAGGACAGCCTAAACAGATTTAACAGACACAGACATGTGATGGTCACACAACTGCAAGCCTGTACCAAGTGCACCATTTAGGTCAAGGCCTTTTCTCTTTCATCTACTTTATGATGGCTTTTTATGCCCACTGGATTCTATTAATTGCTGCTTGCAGCCTCATTTTAAAGTTTATTTTTAGTTTAAAGAGACATAAGAGCCATACTTATTCTTGCTTGTTAAATGACTCACTTATATCGGCATGTGAGTTCTAAAAGAAATATTCTGACATAAAGTGGGACCCAGATGTCTGAGACTACCAGTGCTTTACATGATTATGACAACAATTTGAATGAAAAGTAGAATTTAAGTTAACAGAATTCCAGGGGTTTTCTGTATTTAACCCCTTTTGCTAGAAATAGTGAAGAATCGGAAATCAACGGCACAATCTCTGCAAAAATGATTATTTTAGTTTTTGCATATTTCACAGCAAACTTAAAAGTGAAATGTCCAGTTAGTGGCACTAAAAATGTGTTTGGTTGTATCCAAAACACACAAATGTAAATCTAGTAATGTTTTATTATGTTGGCTGTTGTAAGTACCATTTGCTGAAGCAACAATGCCAGTTTTAGCTTCCTTCTACGAGTCTTTGAGCTCTTTCATCGAGTGCCATGACTTGAGTTTCAAAGGACTCAGCATCGCAAGTGCTGTGCTGTGCCAGGTGAGCTAATGAGCAAGTTACTACATCCAAAAAGCCATATATATGGAGCTGGTCATATCATGCAAATGTTAAAATGTCGTAATTTAAATCATGCACTATGGTAAAAGTGTTCTGTGGTCATTAGAAGTATTCTGCAAGGAGCTGCTGGAAAAGAAGTATTTATTTGCTAATAACCTTCCCCTATATTTACGATTTGTGTGAAAAGGAAAAACCTCAGAAATATTTCTTATTTATTTAAAATCCTAAAACTTTATTTATTTATTTTTTAATTTTTGATATTTGATTTTGAATCCCAGATTTTCAGTCACAGATTTTTGGACCTCACTATCTTCTCTGCACTAAGCCTCGGAGAAACATCACCCTGTGCATACTTGCAGGTGAAATACAGCATCCATTTCTCCTGACTTGTGTAATCACAAATGTCCATGGGATGGTCTGCCCATTTATTTTTCTACCAGGTGCTTATATTGTCATTTTAATCAAGAGAGTGGAGGTCAGAAACTTCAGCACATCTGCCCTGAATTTCAATATCTGTCTGCTGTTGATTGGGGTTAAAAATAGAAGCCATTACGCACACCTGGCACTGGGGGAAATTGAATTCTGTCACTAACTCTCTGCAGCCAACATGGTTGAACCTTGATGGATCCACTCTGTTGCCATGATGCCACCACAAGTGTTTTGGAGTGCTCTGTAGTTTTCTATCACTGAAAACCCATGACAATTTAACCTGGTTTAAACAGAGACGGTCATAAAAGCGGTGTTAAATAACCCTGTTGCTCTTAAAACTGGGAAATAACAGTTGCTGAGAGAGCCTTAGATGTATACGACAAATGGCAGAGCATCTGTCTACAGCCGTACGCATGTAAACAGTTGCTAACAGTCTCTAATCACTGATGTTGGTGTGTGAGAATGAGTAATTCATTAAAGAGTCTCTCAGAGCACTCTTTCCTTCACAGTTCATTTCATCTAAAGTTGACTGAAACACCACATGGGCTGAGGTACTTGTCACCAAACTTTTTAAAAATGAAAATGCAGTATATTAGGTTTTTTTCCCCCTTATATTCTGGGGCTGCTCATTTGAAAATGATTGAAAATGATAAAAATTAAATGATACATTTAAATTACTTCAATATAATTAAGGCTCAAGGTTGCACATTTACACCACCATTCAAAAGTTTAGTGTTAGTAATTTGCTTTATTATTATTAATATTATGGTTGTTGTTGTTGTTATTTCAGCAAGCATTAAATTTACAAAAATTGACGAAATTGAAATGGTCAAATAAATTATGTTCTTTTGAACTTTCCATTAATCAAAGATTCCCGATAAACAAGTAGATAGATAGATAGATAGATAGATAGATAGATAGATAGATAGATAGATAGATAGATATGACAACAAAAAAGTTTCTTGAGCACCAAATCAGTGTTTTAGAATGATTTCTGAAGGATCATGCAGGGGCCATATTCACAAAACATCTTAAGGCAAAAAGTAGCTCCTAACATTTTAGGACTCACAAAGTATTTCACAAAGCATTTTAGCACTAAAACCAGCTCCTAAATCTGTGAAGTTAGGGGTATTCAAGAGGACTCCTAAGCCACTAAGACCAAATATTGCCGGCAAACATTTTAGAAACCTTTAATGATAATTTCCCTTTAATTTATGTCCTTTTCATGGACAAGTTGGGCAAGAAATAAAAGCTGTTCTTGTGTTGAGTTTTGTTTTACATTTGCACAACATCTAGCCATGATTATTCTAGTCTGTTAATTAAAAGATTGTGCACAGTATATGCATATCTGCTAATTGTTTATGAAATGCAGACATGTAAGAGGCTGAAAATTAGCTAAACATGTACTTGTTCAGTGACACTTAGCCTACATTTTAAAATCTTGATATGAATGTGGCAAAACGTGGTATACTTTATCTTAATTTAAGATTTCTACCAATTTCTTAGTGAATGTTGGTCTCAGCCAATAGGTTTATAAGATGAAACTCTTAGGAGAGCTCTTAGTGGTAAGATAAAATGTTTTGTGAATACGACCCCTGAAGACTGAGGCAATGGCTGTAAAAATATAATAATATTTCACAGTATTACTATCTTTGGAAATTTTTTTTACTAAGCCCAACATTTTGAATGGTAGTGTACATGATAATAAAATGCGATTTGACATGAAATATAAATACTTATATTTGTATTATATTATGTTTGCCTGCTTGAATTCCCCAATACATATGGTGATATGGTGCCATGAGTATTTAAGACATGCTGCTGCTGCACAAATAGCATATAAAATAACCCCCCCAACAAAGCTGGAAGAAGAAACAAAACATTTAAATATGTATGCTGCCGCTATACAATAATATGCTTAAAATCATCCCTATAAGGCAGAAGGAATATAAAAGATAAACCCCCCCAGAACAAGCAGATCTATTGCCAAGACATATGTACTGCTGCTGCTCTGGAGAGCCATGAGACAGTGTGTTTGCTATCTATGAGAGCCTGGGCCGGCTTTGCCGAATGGCTTAACACTAGTGCACTATTGCTGTGTGTACCTGATCGGTTGACCAGATAGCTTAAACTAGTGACCTGAGTTAAAATTTAACTAATGACCTAAATAACTATGTGTGTCTGAGCCAATAACGCAAACTTACCTAGGTAGAAACGCGCACTGTGTGTATCATTAACAAACAGGAATCACACTGTAGGCTGATAGATGAAGTAACCCCCAGCAACGACCTGGCTCAGGCTCGGCCGGCCTGAGCAAATAAGTTTAAAATTTGTCATTCAAGAGTTGTCAATTTATTTATTTATTTTTTCCCCCATTAACGTTCATCAACGTTACTGCAGTGGAAATACTTACCTTTAACTTATTAATAAGCTAACAAAACATTTGGCGAAAGAATAAATCACTGTACACCCTGTAGTTGTGGTGTCATATGCCCAGGACTAATTCTGTCTCAGAAGCAGCTGCTCATTTATTTTGATAATTTAAAATATTTATATAGCATATTAAGAACAATACTGTTTGCATTGTATGAACACATCATTACTAAATGCGTGGCTCGTTCCAAGATGGCCTTGAGCAAGACACTACAGTGACATTATTTAAATGCAGTTGTCTGCAGTTATATTAATTGTGGTGTTAATTAAAATTTGCAACATAGAAATGCTGTGCATGCTGCTGAGAAAAATCTTGATGACTGAATGCCTATGCAAGCTGCAACTACTGCACAAAAGACTGAACTGCTGAGAGCTCAATTAATTAGGCATATGAGTAGCTAGGCGAATGCCTATTTTACTCTAACATTGTGTCTACGCCAGACACGAGCGGCACAATATGACCAAATCAATAGACCCCTAACAATAGGTAAAGCGGTCTGCAATGTATGCAGTGCGATACGGCCAACGCAACAAAACTTCTGCTACTGCTGCTATTGATAATATTCACTAACATTTCAATACAGAGTTGAAGTACATGCTGTTGCCGTTAACGATATTCACAATGTTGTAGTAGGACAGCTCAAGTGAATGCTAGCCAGCCATATAAATGCAAGGCAGTAAGCTCATTGGCTGCATTTGCAGCATGAACCAATCAGCTTGTGCCAAGTCGTTTAACTGTTTGAATATCATCAGTTACGTTAACACCCCGTCAGAATGCGCCATCTAGAGTTTCATGACTGAACTATATATTTAGTCTCCTTGGTTACTCATTAGTTAATTCTGTTCATCTGTTCCTGTTTAGTTCACTTATTTATTCTGTGCATTTATACTCCCTGTTAGGTTCAGTTCTTTGTTATGCCTGCTTCAGTTTGCTGGTGATACTTCTAAATCTCAATATTGCTTAGAATTGCATCTTCATAAGTAAGTCATTTGTACTATGGCTCCAATCAATGGCTGAGAGTTAATGACACAGTGAGAGTTGCTTCGGGAGGAGCTGCGGAGAGAGCGCAAAAGATTGTCCAGTGGAGAAAAAAAAATGCTTTACCTTTGCTTGTGACTGAGCTCCAGGATCTTCTGAACATCTTTCTTGGGCACAGCATCATCATTCTTAAGAGACTGTAGAGAAGAAAAAAAAAGAGTGGTTGTGATTATTTGCTTTATAATATTGTATATATGTGTGTGAGTGTTTGAGCTGTTTATTTTTGGATTCAACATGGCAGATGAAGCTGACACTGTCAGATCTGTTCATCTATAAAGATATGACCACCTTCTATAATGCTGATTTTTACAATAAGCCTGAAAAGACCAGTAAAGTCTTGAGAATGGTGCTTTGGTGGGGCAGTTCCAAAGCATCTGTTTCCCTCCTTAGAGAAACATCAGCGAGATCAGAGAGAGGAAATCTGACTAATTCTCATTATAGCCTCATTTTCATTTTCTTCAATCAGCATAAACTATGAATAATGGAATGCAAAGCCTTGAAAGAAAAAGATATTAAACCTTTCTCATTCAGATCATTTCTAGAATTGTACATCGAAGCATTCTGATGTTTATGAGCATTCAATTCAATTCAAATATGTACATTTTTTATCACAGTCAATGGAAAGTCATGGCCTATTTTGGCTAATATCATCTACATACTCTGAATTACAGAATCGTTTATTAGATACACTCAAAAATATTACTGAATGTGTACGTCACAAGGAAGACGAGATCAACTGTTAGTAGTATTTAGCATTTTTTTTCAGCCAACTATAAGCAGATTTGTTTTCTTACTGTTGCAAGCAAGACTGTCAATATAAAAAGAAAGATATTGTTAAATCCTGTAGTCTAATCAACATTAACTCTGACAGGCCTAAAAATCTATATATTGTAAAATCATTTCAGCAGAACTCCTAACACCCACCTGTAGTACTTATAGTGAGTAGAATGTCTGTTAGGAGACAATCAAAATAAAGT